CTTTCAAAAATCAAACAGCACATACTTCAGGGTGTAGAATACGGCGAAATATGCTCACTTTAGCATGAATGTTGTAGGCCAAAGACAGACTGACTGTGTGCTTATGATAAAGTATGCTCCATGAATTTTGAAGAGCTTAACTTAGAAGTGTAGTGAACATCTGCTGTGCAACACAGAGACCAACAGATGTTTTGATTTTGCCTACCTTTTTTTTTTTAATCTTGGAAGCTAGCCATATGATATTCCTATTGTGCATTGGGCTTGTCCACCAGTGAAGACAAAATTCTTATGACTAAACTTCATTGTCTGAATAGTGAGAAGCAATACGAATCTTGTTCTTCTTTTTTTCTTTTTTTATAACTTGAACTAACAACCCATAATTTGGCTCATCCAAATGCTTGTTTGCTCTGCTGAAGACTAAAATGCACAGACCTCTGCCTGAAAGGAGAAATTTTTGGCAGACTGACACTTCTCCTCCTACATAATAATCTTTTTCCAAAGTCATGTGGACAGATATTTTGTTCTCATTTAAGTGCTATATTTTCTCTTCAGTCTGTGTCAGAACTCCCAGAGGTGTCAATGGGATTTGTGTGGATAAATCAAAACTGATTGCCTTCAATGGAGGTGTGTTTAAACAATATTTATGTGGGAAATACGAACTTCAAGCTTCTAGCCCAGGAAAATTTATCTTAAAATAACTACAGCCAGTGAATTTGAAAGCCACTGGTATTTAAAAGGATTTCAAAGTATCTCTCTCAACTTTTAATGATAAAACAAGTGATAATTTAAGAGCTTAATCTCCTTTTATTCCTCCTTCTTGAGAATACTCTTATATTTATAGAAAATTCTTTGTTTTCTCCATATGTTCTGTTTACCACTGAGACCTAAAATGGCAAAAAAAAATATTTACTCATATTTTATAACTAAGATCTTGATAGACGAGCTTTGGCTCCCCAGTACTGAATGCACCATGCATCCTGCATAATGCTCTCTCCTCCACTCTCCTTTCACTACTGCTGCAAAAAAACAGTTTAAAATTTTAACTGTCAGAAAGTGGTGAGACAGGGTGTTTCAGCAACACATTCTAACATGGGGAGCTCCCAAGAGCACACCCTGCCTTGCAACAAGACTGCAGTCTTGCTTGATCTTTGCTATAGTCTGGGGACAAAGAATGAAGCTACAAGCAGGCAAGGCACTGCAGCACTGGAGGGCGAAGGTTCCCAGCCAAGAGAAGGCACACATTCCAGGACACAGAAGCTGGACATGTTCTTTCTCCTAAAGGGCAATGGAAGAAAGAGGATGAATTTCCCAAAGCCCTTTCTTTCTCCCCATTTCCTAGAACAGCTCTGCTACTTTCCTTTAAACCATGAAGGCTGTATGTAACCCGCCAGGGCCTGGCACTACTCTGATACTGTATTAATGTCTGTCTCCCTGAGGGCAGATTTCAGAGGTCATTTCTGAGACTGAAAATATTTCTACCCCTACTCTGTAAAATGCTATTCCTGAAAGCTTTCCTCCTCATACAGCTCCTTAAACACCCCCTGCTGAAATACTGCCTGACATCTGCAAGGGGGAGTGGAGAGCACAAAGTAGTCCTGTACCCTGGCAAAGGCTGAAGGGGAAGAAAGAAGACTAGCTCTGATAGATACACGTTGTGTTATGTTTCCCCAGATGGACACTGTGTGCTTGAGCACAAACACAGTCTTAGAACAGGCTGAAGTAACATCAGGTTCTTATTTCTTTTCTTAAGTTGTCATTTTATGTCTAGTTTAGCTAAAATCTAAAATGCTGTAAAATTCCTGCAGAAGACCTTACATTTCAGTTGCAGCTGGGTTTCCACCAAGTTGGTAGCAGAACATCTTTACTGTAAAAACAAAAATTACCTGCATTCCTTCTACGATTGTAGGGTATGTGATATTGTGGCATTGTCTCTGCAGGCACAAATACTGTGTGGGCTGAGTACAAGGATGTGTTCTGTCCAGCTGTATTTGGGGGAACATGAAGGGGGGGAAATACAATGCTTTTCTTCTCCATATTTGGAAAGATGCTTGGCCATGTTTCATTGAGTAATTCAAGCAAAAAGCTATTTGGCTAAAGGACAGCAATTCTCAGACTGTTTGTTTTCAGAAGGGTTTTTTGCTGGGGGTAAAGATTTCCCTTTTGTTTAGTAATCAGGGTGGTGTTAAATGACCATATGATCTTGTGGGAAGACAGTAAAGAATTACTGGAATTCACGAAGTCTGTGGATTTTAATAAGACAATTAAAGAGATACAGTAATGTGAGCGTAAAAGCAGTTGAAGTGCTGCTCTTAAGCTTTGCTTTTCAGGACCAGTCAGCCCCTTTCTGTCACATGACAAAGACAGTTTATCCACAAGATCTCTTTTTTTTTATTACCTGCTGTTTTGTAATGGAATAGAGTCACAGTCCAGCACCACCTTCTTAAGTACTCTGTCATCAGAAGCCACATGAAACCTGCATTTTCTGTTCAAGTAATGAAGCCCAGGGCAGATATTTTGACCTTCAGAGACACTAAAAGTGGGAAAGAACTCCTGCTCTCCACCTCCCCATCTGCTACAGATCAGTATGAACCAAAGCACAAATAATATGCATGAATACAACAGGGAAAAGACCATCAAAAGAAGAGAGCTTAAGCACACCAACATGGAAAGGATTTGTAAAGAGCTGGCAGGCGGGCTTGGAGAAGGCAATTTCATTACAACAGAAATTTCCCCTGGAAATTCTGCTTTCAGAAAAGCTTAGGGAACATGTAGTGAACAAACTGTTTGCTGCTTACACATACATACATGACCTTCACCATCTGCAAGATGACTTTTTCTTTTGCAAGTACAGCCTCGTGGATAAAATACCTTCTTGAAGATTTTAAATGCTGAGTCCAAGTTTTTAAGTTTCAGTGTATTCCAGAAATTATTCCAGGGTTTTGTTAAATCATATCAGGAGCAGACTTGAATTCTTTGGCTGCCATCTCTCTTTTCCTCATACCATTAGATTTCATTTACTACAGATGCTGATGCTGACTTCTCACAGTGTCCTGTAATGCTCTCCTCTCTTCATAAATAGATTGAATGTCAATGAATGTAAAGAGAATTACCTGTGTTATATACTAGGGAAAATATATAAGGAGAATTATTCACTAAATACAGGTCACTGATTCTCTTCAAAGCCTTTTGCACACCAGTTATCCATGGACTGAAATTTCCCCTTGCCATTCAAAATTTTCTGGATTTTTTTTCACAAAAATACTGTGCTAGCATCTCAGTCTTGCATCCACAGTCAAAGTTTAGCTGTTCACCTCTTTATTCCTCTACTACTGCAAACTCCCTGTGTGATAAATATATTTACATCATCCACTGATGTCTTCACTCTGCAGCCCTGGGCACATACATCTTTTTGTTAAACCAGTAAGAGCTTCTGTGCAGCATGACTAGAAGGCCTGTATGACTTTAGAAAATACATGCTTTCACAAATTGTACATATATCAAGGATTAATTCAAAACTGCCCTGTTATTTTTTGCATGCAAAATTCCGATGAGATCATTAAGACTGAAATTAACTACTGTGTTTTCACCATTAGTCATACCTGATTGCACGCTGGCAACCAGCCCTTGTCATGAATTGTTGTTTCTTTGCTAAAATTGTTTTCAGTATATCTTAATTTCCTTTTCTTCTGAGTCTTAAAATGTGTGGCATTTGTAAGTATGAATCTGGGATTATGTAAATATGGATGAAACAAAGGAACTGACAGTTAGCTTTCCACCAAACTAATCCAGACTAAAGTACTTTTTATGACTTGAAAACTCAGGGGTAATAGCAAAACATCGTAACTGCAATGATCCCCTTCGGTTAGGAGCACCTTGAGAAACCAGACTCTTCTTGCCTATACTTTTCCATTCTTTCATTCTGGTTTGTGCAAAGACCAACAGTCTACAGACCAGTGCAGTATGGATGAGAAGACTAGGTGTAATAGTGGTATGACTCAGACCACAGTGGATGCAATTAGAGCATCATTTCTTTAATCTTCCAAAGACCAGTTGTGCAAATCAACTTCCTGAGGACTTCAGTGGTTGTAGCAACTTTCAGCTACCGTTTCAAGACAAAAAGGTAGCCCAAGCATGATGTTGTCTCTTTCATTTTACTATAACATGAACAGAAACTGATCAGTCCATCGCAAAGCACACCCTTCAGTACAAGAACTGTTCTTCACATACGCCCCGTAAGAATGTCTGATTTCTATTTTCTCTTCAAGCACTGAGTTGCAGAAGTAAACCTAAGAATCAAATTTTTGTGAAGCACTTGGACTACTCCATAAACACGCAAAAGCATGTTGGGTGTGTATATCAGATGCATCATCTCCCTAATTAAATCATATTTTCTGTTGCTTAGTCTCTTGTCATTTGAAGTAAAATCTGAGTATTGCTGTGAAGTCAAAAGGACAGTATTGGATCAATTTTCCATCAGCTCAGCTCTTTATCCTCAGTGGATAAAGAATGTGTAATTCAACCAAATGTACACATGGGGCTTAACTTGCAAGTGCACCAATGTACCTGTGTATTCCATCGCACTGTGATGTATCAACAAAAGCAAACTTGAGAGGAGGAGAAGAAAATGCGTAAAGGAAGGAAAGTACCAACAAAATGCCAAAACAACAGTTTTACACAGCTAATCTGTCCCAGAGGAATTTTTCTAAGTTACTCCTGAAAATGCAGTTGATTAAGTAGAAAAACTGTTTCATTTGAAACCAATGGCTAAAATATACCAAAGCTCTCAACTCATAATATTCTTGAGAATTAAATCTGTACTAAGGTTGACTGAAGGGTAGTGGGCTCTGAATTTTGCAGGAGGTCTCTTTGCAAGTATATCTCTCTCCTAAGGTGATTTACAGACAGCAAGACAGCACAGGACCTCTTCCGAGAAATGGCTTGTAATGTCACACATGGCAACCAGGAATTTTTCATAACAAGCAGTTTATTGTCACTGTTGCTACATCAATGTATATGTTTGCGTACACATGTCCATGTACATATGCAAGTGCTTTCCCTGTCTTTTATGCACACACCCTTGTGGACACTCACCCCACATATCTGGACACCTCGCTGTCATTTCTGTGAGATGTACATAAATGAAGTATTGCTACATCTTGAAAGTTGAAAAACCGAGTCCTCAGGCTGCTGAAGTGCAAGAAGTCAACAAGAGAGGGGGACTGTGACAGAGCCAGGAGAGAGACCAGAGCATATGGACCCTTCAAACCTCCCAGCCGCAGGCTCATCCTCCCCGCAAAACAAAGAGCTAAATTAACCACGATTAATTCAGCACGTTTCAGTGCAAGCCCTCACTCCGTCCCCGCGAACAGCGGCTCCAACCCGCGCGGCGAGGGAGCGGAAAAGGCGCTCCTCACTTTTCGGGGGGTCCTGCCTTTCCGCTCCCCTTCGCTTCTGCTCGGCGCGTTTCCAGTGACCGCCACCCTCCCCGCTGTCGGGCTGTCCCCTGCCAGCCGTGTGGGACCCATCGGGGCGGGACGGGGCTGCGGGAGGCGGGGAGGGACGCGGGGGGAGAACGCTTCCGAAAGGCGAGGAGGGGAAAACGGAGAGAGGGGCGTGCGAGGGGCAGCGCCTCAGCCGCGGGGGATTAAAGGGCGCGGATACCTGCGGGGGCCGGCGGGGAGGCCGGCAGGGAGACAGAGAGGCAAGCAGGCAGAGAGGCAGGCCGGACGCCCCTCCGAGTAGAGAGGAGGTGGGGCGTCAGGGGACGACCAGCAGCTCTTCTCCCGCGGCTGCCGGCGTCTCCCCGCGCCCGCCGCCACGCCATGTGGCCCCTGGTGGCTCTCTGCTGCTGGGGGGGACTGTCGCTGTCCCTGTCGCCGTCGGCGCCGCAGGGCCGGCCGGGCGGCCAGCCGGGCGCCCTCCTCCGCGCCCCAACTTTCGCGTCGCCTTCCCTGGAGGCGCCGGCGCTTCCCGACACGACGGAGAGCAAAGTGGAGAAGCTGGGGCGCGCCTTCAAGCGCCAGGTGCGGCGTCTGCGGGCGCGCAGCGGACGGCTGGAGCTGGTGTTCCTGGTGGACGAGTCGTCCAGCGTGGGTCCGGCCAACTTCCTCAGCGAGCTGCGCTTCGTCAAGAAGCTGCTCTCCGACTTCCCCGTGGTGCCCGCGGCCACGCGCGTCGCCATCGTCACCTTCTCCTCGCGCAGCAACGTGGTGCCACGCGTGGACTACATCTCGCGGCGGCGGCCGCAGCAGCACAAGTGCGCCCTGCTGGGACGAGAGATCCCCGCCATCGCCTACCGCGGCGGCGGCACCTACACCAAGGGCGCCTTCCAGCAGGCGGCGGTGAGACGGGCGGGGGCGCGGGCTCCGCGATGCCGGGGGATGCGCGGTCAGGGGTGCGGTGAGGGCGGCGGTGCCGTGAGGTGCGGGGTGCCCTGTGTGTCTCGGCATCGAGGGAAGGCGCGGCGATGTGAGTCGCAGGAGTGCGTGGGGTGCTGGGGTGCGATGGCTCGGTGTGCGCTGCGCTGTGCAGCGCGTGGTGTGGGAATGTGGCTCTCCGCTTTGTTCGAGGGTGTTCCGTGACAAGGGGTGTAGGGCTGTATGATGGGGTGTGCAATAGTGTGGGATGCAGAAGTCTCATCCGAGCCATTAGTCACTATCTCCCCGTACCTGTCTTGCACCTGCAGCTCCCATGTTTCCTGATGCCCTTGCAAACAAATGTGTGAAATTCGTTCTTTGAAGGGGCATGGAGCCCGAGTCTCAATTTCAGAAGTGATAGGTATGAGTCAAGTCTGGCATCTGAGATGCCTGCCTGGTTTCATGGCAGCAGGACTTGAGTGCCCGCTAGCTCTCAGACATAACCTACGTACTCTTGCCAGGTGTCTGTTTTAATTGCTAATGACTTACAAAGGTCCCCTTAAGCTACTAATAAATAGGGGCATGTCCCCAAGACATGCCAGACACCCTAACACAATCACTTGTCGCGCTGTCATACAGACAGCAGAAATTTGGTCTAGACAGCTCCTGAACATGTGCTGGCGCTTGATCATACTGGGGAGACTTCCCAGTAGATGGTTAATGGACAGCCAGTCCACTCAGGACGCTTTTTTTACAAGGCTAGGCCTGGTTCTTCTTTGTCATTTGGCCTCTATGTTCAGAAACAGCCACCAAACCAAGTCTCATTTTCGAGATTTATATATATATATATATATATATATATATATATATATATATTTTATTATTATTTTTTTTTTTTTAAAACATCTAATTTCTTGTAGTGTACTGTAGCTGAGCATTGGGTGCACTTGTCTGGAAACACATATTCTCATTTGGAGCTGAGGAGTGAGATTGCAAGAGGTGCATCACTGCTGGGCATATGAAATTGGCAGAGATTATTCTCTTCACTTTTGGCAGGAGAAAGCAAGTTCACTGTATAATGTGCTCAGCGCTGTACATGCCAAACCTGCTTTAGGAAAACACATCCCTGTATTAGATCTTCCACTGTGAAGCCATGTTTCAATATAGATCCATCCCAGGGGTGTTGTGTGAAAAAGTTAATGATTCAAGTTAAAAATAACCGTTAAAAACAAAATATAAGCTTAAGAAATACCATCTGTTGTCTTGATATGAAGTCTTGACTAATGATATCTTTAAAGAGAACAAACAAAAAATCCCTTCAGAAACCTACAATTTAGTTTCTTGAGCCCAGCTAAACTTTGTGGCTGCAACAGCATGACTGTCATTTTACATTGTGTTCTTATAAGAATGTGGGAAGAAAAATATTCACATGGTGACAGGGAAAATTAAGATAGAATAACAAGGTTAAATTCCGGTCTGCTTACTAGTTCTTGGTTAAAGAGACTGTACTGTGGTTTTCTTCAGTATGATTTCTTCATGTCAGACAAATTAACATCTTCAGAGAATACACTCCTTACTAGACACTCTTCAGAAAATTACTGTTCTTAGTTTAAAGTACTACTTCTGGAATAAATCTATAAAGTTTTTTAAGAATAACAAAACTGCTATTCCCTGGGGACTCTTAGACTGCTGCTTTATGTTTTTAACTGTCTTTTGATACAACCCATAATTATTTCTTCTTTCACTTTTCTAAAATGTCTCTTTTTTGAATTATTCTTTTTCTTATACACTTTAATTTGGGATTCCTTCTGACCAGATTTCTCTGCTTGTTTTCCAAACTTGAAAGTATCTGCAAAGCATTACAAATTCTCTGGGATTGTATCACTTACATGTTACAGTAACAGAAAATGAAATAAAGTGCATTGTTAGGATAAACCCAGCACTTAAATAGTCATGCAGCCCCCTTTGGTAGGTCTCAAAGTGGGTAATTCATCTCATCGGTGGTGGTTCCACTGAAACCACAGAGGCAGAGAGATAAGTGAATTCTGCAAGGTCATCAGGCCAGTTAGTGTATGACTTGGGAACATGAGTGAACAGGAGTAAGATTTACATAGCAATTGCTGTCTCAGAACCTGGATCAACAAATCATCCTAAAAGCAGACCTGTTCAGTTTGACAAACTGTTGCACAACCACGCAATGTCCATCTTCTTTGAAAACATAAGAGAGTTCTCCTTGGCACTGCAGCTTTGCATCCTCTCCAAAGGTACTATGCTGACAAGTTTACTGCAGTTTCTGTGTTCTGTCAAAGCTGTCCTTCCTAACTTTTCCCATGTAGACCACACTTTGGCATTCCTACCCAGCAGATTAAAGATAAATTCTATGCAATTCACAGAAATATGCCAAATATACCGTAAGAGACAGTGGCAAGAGACAACATCCTGACGAGAATGGCTGAACTGCTATTGATGTTTGGGTTTGCCACCCCATTTATGATTTCATGCCATGCTTGAGCTAGCAGGTGCTCATTTTCAGAGTCTTTCTTTTAAGGCACATGCAAACAGTCTTAGAAAGGGGAAGAAACTGAGCTCATTAATTCAAAACTCTTTGGCTTCAGTTTTTCACAGCATAAGTTGGTGGGACAGCACAAACTACATGCAGCTTATGTTAAGCAGATTGCTTATTGCATTATGGAAAGCTACAGTGCTGTTGTGACAGCAAGATAGAACCAAAGCAGAATTGAAAATACAAACAGGTTTGAGTGAGTGTTGCTCCCAGTGCTTAAGGAATGCATCTAAAGCCAAAGGACCCCGGTGGAGAGGTGTTGAGAGACCTGTAGGCAGCTGTATTGGACCTTCTGATCCTGAGAGATAGCCACTGCTAACAGCACCCATTATGCCTCGTGGGAGGGACGTGCCTTTGTTACCAGATGGGTTTTGAAACAGAACTGAGGGGTCATCATGCAATGATGGAAGTTTAATGGGGTCTTGTTTTAGCAGCTGAGAGTCATGGTTACATATATGTCAGCATTGGTGTGCTATCTTTATTGGTGGACAGTTTAAACATCCTGAAGCTGCATTGGTTTCCATTTTAATCTCTTTTAAAAAAAGATGAAAATAAAAATTATTCAAACTACTGCACATGGCAATGTGTTGAATAAAATTACATCTTCTAAGAAGAAAGTAGTCTTATTTCTGTCTTTCAGTGGAAGTAAAATGGAAACAATTTCTCTTCATAATTGAAGTGGAAGTCAGAGATAGTACTCAGCCAGCCTTAGACAAGTCAATTGTTGTAAAAAGTCTGGAAAAGAGGGAGCCTTTGGGAGTAATGCGTTATAAAAATAATTGCACTAAAGGTAATCTTTTTGTTTTTATAATTCTTCTTCACTCATTTGAAGTTGGTTTAGGTATGTGCAAGTGGAAAGTTTGCCATCTACAGAATAAAATTGCATGTTTTTTGAAAATCTGTTCTTTGAAATCTGGTGTTTGTATCTAATGTGAATTGAGGGAGCATGACAAATGTCCCACCAGCATGTCAAATTCCATGCTCTGTGTTATGATTAATAAATATTTTTTAAAAAGGTCCCTCAAAAGAATGTAAGCACATATCGGTTTAGGATAAACAGTTCTAATGTTTATTTAATGCTCGTTTAATTAAGTAATGGTCGATTTGTTTCTTCTGTATGACAAAAGCACAAAAGTACAAGATGCAGCATTGTTACCCACTTGAAAAATTAGCTTTTATTTTCAGTGCATTTTTAGATTCAGAATCTCATTTTCAAATTAAAATTAAAAGTTTATTGAAGCTAAAGAACTGAAAATCTTTTCTTAACAAATACTTGGTTAAGTTTTTTTCTTTGAAAAAAAGTAATGCCCTCTCACTAAGAAAATGAACATTCATGTCTGGTTATCAAGCATGTGTTTGTGGATTTTTATTCCTATGACCTCTGCAAAATCTGCAGGCAAAAATGTGAGAGTAGCAGATTCTAGGTTGTCTTTGGCATCATGCTCTAAGTATGTGATGATGGCTTAGGTCAGCTAGAGCTAACTGACTTCTTGACAGCATTTGGCTTCTCTGAGTTTTGAGATGGCCTTGGGAGTCTGCGTTAAAGATATGGCAAAAAAAAAAAAACGAAAGTCAACTTGGTTTACCTCTGTGGCCACCTTTGCAATTGCAGAGCTGGTAGTTAGGGATTACCAAATTGAAAGTAGCACTCCCACCAGCCATCTCTAGTGTCAGCTCCAAATCTCCAATTTTAATCAGCATGTTTTTTGTGGAGAGTACTGGTCCTGCATACTCCAACTATGCATGGGGTTCGTTCACAAGATTAGTAGGGCAGGGTCAGAGACAAGATACACATCTGTACATTGTTCACTGCCCTTAGACCAAGCCTGAAATATACCTACATTTAGAAATTATTAAGTAGTTAATTTTTCTCTGACCTTTTGGCTGGGACAGGTAAAAAGTGCTCTGTTTAGCACAGTATCTGCCGCTGCCTAATCAGGATTAAGTTTTTCTTTAGCTGGAAACCTTTTCTTTGGAATCCTTCTGCTTGTGCTTACAAAACTGTGTCTCACATTTTGGTCTAATCAGAAGTCTGTAATTTGGAAGTCTGTATAGATATTGCTGCACAAAATTAAACAAATCTCATGCCTGTAATATCTGAACCAACAATACAGTGAATGAAATCTTTTACCACTATGGTATCTGGATGATATCATCCTAAATGTTTCAGGAATAGAAATTCCTTTTCATGAGAAAACCATTTTTTATTGTCATCTCAGCCTTTTTTGGAAGGGTCTGACAATAAGCCCCTTCTGAAACCCAGTCCTTAAAAGTTAATACCCTCACCGAGAAATCAGTCTGAGCATGTGCTTTGCTTCAGAGATACAAAGATAAACCAGAAAAGCTGCTGAGTGATTTGTTCTGAGATAAGAAATATATCCCCAACACTAAAATTTTGAAGAAGTCAGGACAAAATAAGTTG